TGACAGAATTACGATTATTTAATTCTTACTTTATAGGTATATTATGACTTGGAGAATTTGATTTTTAATGTTGCTCGGTTATATATGTACTCACCAGACGTTTCAGTCCTTTTAATGGACGATATCCGCAACTATGTGTCATAAACCATTTGTTTCAATAGGTTGGTTGCATCGCTCAATTTCTTGCTCCGGACAACCTCTTTCCGGAAACAAATCACTCGCTGCCTTTCGCATACATTTATTTCCTTCTGATTTAATGAATTCTTCAAAAACTGACTGCAATTATAACTAATGTTTAAAAGTCTAGGAGCTGTTTAGGTGAAACTTTTATATTGATATTTATGTGTGAAACAAGTTGTTATCATTTAATTTATAAAAATTTATAAGCTGATAGTGTTGATAATACTTTAATAATATGGTAATTTAAGCAATCATTAGAAAATAATTTTCTTATCTAACTGAAATCGAAGAAATAAGATGTCTAAAATACTGTCTGTATCTTGATGCAATCAAGGCGCTTGACATAGAATGCAATTTTTAGTTAAACTTAAAAAAAATTAGCCAAAACACTGATCTAATAAGCTCTAAAGTAGCTTATTTATTTAAATTACAAATTATAACAAATACTCGTACAGCATGTAATAAATATTTGAGTTGATATATTTTTGATTAACATTTAAGATGGTCGTGGTGATGTTATTTTCCTCAAACAAAAAACTACTTGGACTTTTACTTTAAATATTTCCTCGCGTTAAAATTTTTTGTTATTTCCAAGTTTCATAGGATAAGAATATGTACTTACTTCAAAAACGAGTTATTTTTTATTAATTTGTTTTTGGCAGATGACTCTTACTAATTAATGAGTTAATTATGAATGTAATAAATAAACTAAATTCGTAACACATCTAGATGATAAGCTTTCAAAATTAATAAAATTATGCAAACGATGTAGATAATTAAGTTTGAGACATATTGATTATTGATTTACCTGTGTAAAATCTAAAACTTGATAATTTTAATTTCACAATAATTAGCAATCATCACTGTGAGTTTAATTGCGTTTAATTACAGCGTTATAAGTGCGGTATTCATTGGAATAACTTGATTTATAATGTTTCAAACTAAAACTATAAAATGTTTTATGATCTTCAATTATGGGAAAACTTCTCGTCAAGACTTGAAACTAACCCATTTATCGCTTTTATTGTAGATAATTTAGCGCAATTTTAACAGAATTTTGCAGTAATTATACCTGCAACATAACCGTTCTGTTAAAAATATGACATAAACGCTCACTAACCTATTAATTCCGAGACTTTGTTTCAACAGGTTATTAATTTTTAAATACTTTGTAGAAACAATGAAGATTATTTTGTTATTACTTTTTAAAAGCCACGATAAAGTAGTAAAAGTAAAATAGTTAGCAACTATTGGAAAAAATAAATAGTTATTAAGTTATAATGCCTGTTGATTAATTCAATAAGCATGAAACCCGAATATTAAAAAAATTAAAGCTAGTGTATTGTTGGTTGCCGTATTTTAATAAAAGCATTGCTGTTATTATACATACACTCCGTCAAAAATGGTAAATTCAAAATAAATAATACTATCTACCTATTAATAAATCTCTGTTGTTCATTTTTAACAAAATTCTGAATTATTTCTAAAGTAAACCAAAATGACTGTTTGAGTTAGCAATTCTAAATTTTATTATAGATATTATAGATATTATAGATATTATAGATATTATAGATATTATAGATATTATAGATATTATAGATATTATAGATATTATAGATATTA